GGGGGGGGGGGGGGGGGGGGAGTTTACGTATAGTCCTGCTTCATGAGCTCATTTGCTGAGAGCCTGAAGGTGTGCAGCCCTAAGTCTAGTATCTCAACACAGAGGCTGCAGTTACATTATGTAAAAAAAATAGGCATGACTCATTTCCTGGTTATTCCACCTAAATCCTAGTTATTAGTTGTGTGTGAGGGGGTTGAGGCTCCATTTCAGAACCAAAAGTCAGGCTAAAAATTAAGGGTGATGACTTCATATGCTGAGGCTGAGACAGTTTAGTTTGCCCAAGTGTTGGTTTTGGGTTGGAGGGTTCAAGGATGGACATGGAGGGAGGAAGTCACTGGGAAGTAAACCATTCTCATTTCCACGCTTAGAAAAAACCTCCCCAAACCTGCCCCAAATTGCACTGCTGAACTTTGGTGCCAAAATGGCCAAAATTCAGTGCAGTTTGGTGGCAATACAGTTTAGGCTGTTTCAAGGTGGGTAACAGTAGAAAACGGTGATACTGTTTATCTTGCAGAGGGCTCCTGTTACCCATGTTCACATTAGTTTTTCTGGCAAGGGGGAAGGAGGGAAGCAAAAAGAAAAAAAAAAATCACACCAACAAAAATGTCATCTTGCCACTTGATTTCTGCAGCATGGTCTTGGGGGTGGTCTCCAAATAGAATTTGGGCCACAGACTACCTGCACCTGCTATAAATATTTAGATTGATTGAACAAAGCATTTGAATAGCAACTTCAGGGTTTTTAATTCCACCAGGATTGTAGCCAAGCTGAGCCCTGCTGAGGAATAAAGACACTGTCACCATGTTTTGTGGACCCCTCAAGGTTTACAGAAGTACAAAATATTAGAAAAATAAGGAGGCAATCTCCTTCCTGCTCCTCCTAAAAGCCCAATCCAGAATGTAGAATGTGGCCACCAACAGAAAGATGACCCAGAATCCAAGCAGATCATGGGGAGAGAAAGCATTGCTAGCAGCTGGACCCTCTAGAGCAGTGTTTCTCAACCTTAACAAATTTAGGATAGCTGGACATCAACTCCCAGAATTCCCCAGCCAGCATGGCTGGCTGGAGAATTCTGAGAGTTGAAGTCCACTCATCTTAAAGTTGCTAAGGTTGAGAAACACTGCTCTAGAGGGTCACTTATTTAGGAAGAGAGGCTGCATAGCAACATTTGGTGTCTGCAAGGACATGTAATTGCAGCCAGAGATCCTTCTGTTCTTTTAAAAGCTGCTTTGAGAGGGAGCTATGTATTAGTGCAAGTGAGAGCTCATGATCTTTCCCCTTCCTTCCATCCTCCCTGCTCCTAATCAACTCTCTCCTCATATTTGCCTTCTTCATCCAGCAAGCCACAACTTCCTGTATTTACCCTGCTGAAATTGGGTAGCAAATGGACAGCGGGGATTAGAGTGGCAATGAGCACCGTTTGCCTCTAGGAGTCCTCCCACCCCCTCACCCCCTTATCCCTCCCAGTAAAAGAGAAAAAAAACAAGCTGAGCAATTTTAGCCCTGCGCTTTCCAGTGGTGTCACTGGAATAATACAGTGTTGTGTGGCTCCTCTTCAGAAGTTTGGGAGGCTAAGTTGCAGTCTCCACCCCTCAGATGTTGCCCACTTGTCAAAATATGCCTTCAAGGTCACCCAAGGAATCATCTAGATTAAAGAGGGGATGACTTTTCATTTCCTGCTTTGCCTTCTTGCTTCTCTAAAGCTGTTTTCATTAAGATACATATTTCTTGCAAGTGGTTTTTATATAATGATCAAGGCAAATAAGCATAACATTTATGTGTAATAGGTAGTTTGGCTCAACAGGACTTTTAATAGGGGAAATGAGTTCTCTGCTGATCTGATGCTTGGAGAACTTCTGGAACATAAGCCAAATTCAGAAGTCATTGTTATGCCTTTAAGGAAGACCTGTGGTTTTCACTTATCCGGGAGGTGACATGGAGGAAGGGCTTTATTCTTCATGACTTCAAGTGAAGAAGAAATGTCAAGATGCAAGAGTAGTAGTGCTACCTTAAATGTTGGAACCTCGCTTTAACAGAGTAGGGCTTATCTCAGCCACTAGCAACCACTAAATGTGGCCCTGAACTCCCACCTTGTCTTGCCTTTAGGTTTGTGCTTGCCAGGTGCGTGCTACAGGGAAGATGTATGCTTGCAAAAAGTTGGAGAAGAAGCGCATCAAGAAACGGAAAGGGGAAGCCATGGCTCTGAACGAGAAGCAGATTTTGGAGAAGGTCAACAGCCGATTTGTGGTGAGCAACAGTCCTGACTGTGCTGCTGGTTACTGCATTTGGTACTGGCCTTTAGAAGACACTTCCACTGAAATATCCAAAGACTTTCATTTGCTAATGCCATCTGGCTCTATGTTCTAAGGGGAATTTCACAGTATCAGATTCAGCCTGGTTGGTTTATCTGCAGTTATTGACTTTGAAAATTAAATGGAGCTTCCTGGATTCAAAAGTGATGATCAAGTATGTTTTAGGGGCAGCATGGGCCAGTTTTCATGTCTGTCTCCTCCAGATATAACTGGGAAAATCATGTTGTACCAAAACTGCACTTCCAATTTCCAGAAATTACTTGACCCAATGTGACTTTTAAAGCAGCCCTGCCATTCTTCAGGCTTCACAAGTCTGAAAAAACTTGTGGCTGCTTTAATTAGTAGCAGAGTAGTTGGGCTTGCATTCTGAAGGACTTGGACAGATTCCTTTTCAAAGTGTGCACAGCCCTAACAAAAAAGAAAATAAGTAAGGCAGCTTCCTGTGTTCCTAAGCTGTCTGTTTGTGGAAGAGGATAAATGGAAGGAAGATGATTGCTGTTTACAAGTTTCTTGATGGTTGGACACTATAGAAAGCAGAGTTCTGGACTAGATGTAATATTTGCTTGAAGTCAGCTGCTCCTTTTTTTCATCTGTGCCTACAGGTCAGTTTGGCTTACGCATATGAGACCAAGGATGCTCTCTGCCTGGTCCTTACTATCATGAATGGAGGTGACCTGAAGTTTCACATCTACAACATGGGCAACCCAGGCTTTGACAATGAACGGGTCACCTTCTATGCTGCAGAGATTTGCTGTGGCCTTGAGCATTTGCACCGGGAGGGCATTGTGTACAGGTGAGAGGGGTCGGAGTTATTTCTTGGTTCCAAGAAGATGGAGAAAGTGTTAACATAAGGTCTCTCTTGTTGCATAGCTGGCATCATGGGGAAATTATCAGCATCCTTCACCTGATTAAGTGTTGAGGTATCAGAATGGCAGAGGGAATCAACTGCTAAGCCAGCGTTTCTCTACCTGGCACACTCCATGTGGATTCTTTAGGAGTTGTGACCAACAATTTCAGAGGGAGAGAAGTGCTAAACCATAATGGATTAGACAAATGGATCCAGTCCTCTCTGTATCCCTTTTGAATGCTGAACTCCAGCGTGGTCATTTATCTCTTTGAGATTTAAAGCAGCACTCAGATTTGGTACCAGATAACATTCATCAGCCTGTCATTTGACGTTACTGACCAAATGAATACATCATAGACCTAAACTTGAAGACAACTGTCCATCTGTAGAGCCTTAGAAACAGCTTCCTATGGGCGGTCATCTATCTCTTTGAGATTCAAAATTTTCCCAGATTGCTCTGCAGCATTCAGATGGTGTTGGGTAACATTCATCAGTGAAAACTGCAACAGAATGCTGTAGAGTGTGGTACTCCTGATCACTAAGCTTGTTAGATGATCACATCCTCTTCCAAAAAAGATCCTTTCATCTCCACTCCCCTCCCACCTCTTCTTCACAAGCCCCCCTTCCCAAGCAGCCTGCATTCCACACCCATGACTGTTCTCTATTCTCATTGGTCTGTTTGGGGGAAGCGCACTCTGTTAACCTTTCTCCTTAAGTATATTTTCTATTTCTACATAAATTGGGATTCTCCCAAGTTTACTGCTAGCTCCCTCTTGTGTGTAAATGGTGCCAAGTCACAGGAGCCATACCTGCACAGCTGAAATCTGCACTGTGAATGTTCCCTAGTCTTTTCTCTTTCCTTGTAAACTGGAAGTACAAACGCACCATCTGGGAATATTGTGTTATCTATCCATGCATCGCTCTATATTTGACCTACAGCTGGAGCCTCTCTCATGAGTGGTGTCATTGGCAAAATAACATGTATTCATACAGTCATTAAAAAATTTCGTGCAGGCATCATTTAGAACCCCCTCCCCATTTTTGAAATCATAATTTGCTTTATTTCATAGTAGGTCAATAGCACTAGAATAAAATAATGCTATGATTTGCTTAAAAATGATCTAATTTCAATAATGCACACAACACAGCTGGCCACAAATGGAATGAAAATAACTGGAAAGTGTTTAGATAATGGGAAAAATTGTATTGCATTATTTATATTTACTTATTAAACATATACATATATATTCATTTTTTTAAAAAAACCCACAGCACTTTACAATAAAACACTAAAACGGGGAAAAGCACTATAATGCAATACATTAAAATAAATATAAATTAATGCACATTGGAAACCATGGAGCATCAGTTACATGTAATCACTGGCAAAGAGTCAGGGAAATGCCTGCGTGTTATAAAACAAGACCATTCTGATTTAAAATACATTCTGTCTTGTTAAACAAACCAGCAAAATCAGCCAGGATGTGTGATTGGCTCGTGTAATAATTGACAGGAGTCTATTTTAAGGAATTATTTCTGGTTTGCACATAATAGCAAACCAGACAACTGGTGTTGTGAATTCTGGGTTCTTTGCTGGTCATATAAAGGGGGGGGGGGAGCGGGAAGGGTGTGTGATACTTTGCAGCTACTTGTCTGCACATGTGCAAGCATTCCTTCATGGATTTACCCATTGTATTATGCCATGGTTTCTTAACCATGTTTATTCAATAATACGTCATCAGACTAATTCCACTTACGTGAAGTCTGAATCAACATGACTGCGCTTGCAGGAGAGTTGAAGGAGTTGTAGTTGAACGGCTCCCAAGCACACTAGTCTGGGGAAGGCTCTGTTAAAGGTAAACATAACCAGGAAGTGAACAAACAACCATGAAATGCAGCAGTGAAGACTGTTAAAAACAGCTGCAAAACGAAAAGACTGTCCAAATTAGAAGGTGGTTCTTTGAGCTTTGAAGGACAACCAATAGAGAGGTGGATATTTGGAAGTACTTTTATCTGGAGGTGCCTAGAAAAAAATCAAACCATCTATTATGCTGGGAAAGTTTTAAGTGTTCCAAAATCCCTCTTGGTCATCTGGTTCTTATTCTGGGTTGTGTCTGTATCTCCCCTGCAGGGACTTAAAGCCGGAGAACATTCTCCTGGATGATGATGGTGAGTTCTGAGTGTTGTATTTTGAATTTTTCCTGTTATAGACTTTCAGGATCACTTTTACCTTGAAATGCCAGGAGTCACAGCCAGGTCCTCCTTCATCCAAACACATCTTCCACTACTGTACTTTAGTTCCTCTCCAACAAGGCAGACTCATTTTTGTACAAATTAGAATTTCTGCCACTGAGAACTGTCTTTCCTCAGAGCTGCATTCATCATGGAATATCACAGGATACCCATCATAATTCCCTAACCTCTGTCATCACCTCCTCCCTTCTTCCATCTAGGTCATATCCGGATCTCAGATCTGGGGCTGGCCATTAAGATCCCAGAAGGCGACACCATCCGTGGCCGTGTAGGAACTGTGGGCTACATGGGTATGTGCTGGAGAGCTGCTCCAGGTCTTGTTATATTGCTGATTCCAGAGAAACTTGGCTCAATCCATGGACCTTGTTTTTGGGTCTACCTAATCACACAGGCTGAGAGGGCATAGTACTTTAAAACAAGGGCAGGAAAGTTATTTTAGGCTGAAAACCAAACTTCTACCATTATTATCATTGTTGGTTCTGTTGTTATGTATATATATAGCCCATTTATAAGTAAAATAAGGTAAAGATTCCCTTGAGCCCCAGTGAAATCTTGTCAACAATCCAGAAATGGCTTGTTACTGCCTTCTTTTTTCAGCTTTCCAATGTAGACTACAACCCTGAGTAGTCTCTCATCCAAGAACTAACCATGTCCAACCCTGTATCGCTTTTTCAACCAGCCCAACTCAGTTAAGTGCTGCTATTTGCTAAACAGCAACGCATTTAATTCCTCCCCCTTACCAAGGGAAAGATTCTTGCCCATCTGATCCCGCATTATCACCTGTGACTAACAGTTGTTCTCCAAGAAACAAAACAGAGAAGATTCTTTCCCATCACCTGCAACCTGAGCTGAGATACCAGGGATCAAGTGCCTTACATGAAATTGTGGTCTCTAACTGTGCTCCCTCCACCCCTGTTCTCCCCTCTCCAGCTCCTGAAGTAATTAACAATGAGCGCTACTCCTTCAGCCCAGACTGGTGGGGGCTTGGCTGCCTCATCTATGAGATGATCGAGGGCCAATCACCATTCCGGGCCCGCAAGGAACGGGTGAAGAGAGAGGAGGTGGAAAAGCGGGTTCAGGAGGACCATGAGCAATATTCAGACAAGTTCTCTGAAGATGCCAAAGCCATTTGCAAGTTGGTAAGTGATGGGAAGGACGAGGAAGCGAGAAAAATAAGGAGGAGTCTTTGCCATGAGTCTGTAGTATCCTGCAAAGAATCAAATATCCCCTGAGTTGAGGTCAACTCTAGGTGACTACGTGAACCTGTCTGGGCACAATCAGAAGTAGTTTGCCATTGTCTTCTGCTGAGATATTGTTTCAGCTTGTCAACTGAATTTCCCCTGGGTCTGTCAAGTAAGGGCCTGCTAGAGTTTTGTGATCAGCCAAATGGCTGGGCTAAGCTGCTTAGCTGGGCATAGATAAATTGTGTGTGTGTGTGTGTGTGTGTGTGTGTACATGTGCACAAGTATATGTGTGTGGGCTGGGTTGGATACAGTGTATTGAGTCAATCAGCCCCAAATCTTATTCACATAAGCTACCAGATTTCAACTCTGCAGGGGTTTTCAAAAGCTATATTGTAAATATTTCCTTGGCATTAAGAGATACAAAAACTTGCAGCAAGGGGTGCTTCTGATCACCAGCCATGCCATGCTATTGTTGTACTGCATGTTTAGCCATTTTGGGACTCCCCATGATTTTCTTTTCCATTGGTAATGCCTCAGCCAAGGGTGGGTGACTCCTTTCTCTTTTGTGTGGGTAGTTTCTTTCCATTATAAGAAGCTGCACTATCAGGACCAACAAATATTCTGGAACAAAGTGGGTTTGAGAACCAAGTTGGTTTATGTCCTATGGCAGTATTACAGTCCTGAGTTTAACATTGTCACAGGCTTTACCTTCTGCACTTACAAGAAGTCCTTTTTTCCTTTCAGCTCCTGACTAAAGACTCCAAACAGCGGCTTGGAAGCAAAGGTGAGGGGGCTGTCCAGGTGAAGCAGCACCCATTCTTCAAGACTATCAATTTCAAGCGACTGGAAGCTGGGATTATGAAGCCCTCATTCGTGCCAGATGTAAGTTCTTACAAGTAAGAGTGAGGAACTCAAGGAGAGAGACAGGAAGACCATGGACAGGCAAATTTTTGTCTGTAGGGGTTAATCCAAAGTGGGCAGAGTCAAATTTTTCCTCTTTCCACAGTTGTTTTTTGTACTGGGATATTCTTTGTCTTTTAAATGAGGTTAAATCTATTTTAGGCATGCAGGACTGCTTCTGGGTTTCCTGCTTCAACATAGGAGAAACCCCCTGATTTTTGGCAATTATGGATGCACAATTTGGTGCCCCAATTGTAGGGAATTCTAGGGGCTTCAGAATAAAAAAGAGGCAGGAAGTTTCTTACAGCCTTGGACCATGAGCTGTCCAGTCTGTGATACTTCAGGGCTTTAGATCTATTCTTGTCCTCTCAGGTAATGGAGATCTCTTTGCTGTCATCTTTGTGACCGTCCTTCAGCTCTTGAAAGAGTGCTATCATATCCCCGTTCCTCACCCTAACCATGTCTGGTTTCTTCTGCCTTTTGTCATAGCATTAGTTTCCCTACAGTCTATCCATCATCCTCACCAGCTTTTGTTTTCCCTCCCCCAAATTCCAAATCTGTCCCAAAGAAGCCAAATAAAAGAAACAGAAATGATCTTATGGTGTTCCTCGGTATCCCTTTTATGCCTTTTCAGCTAGATCTAGTATCATAAAATGAGCTAGAAGAGATTTTACAGGTATTACTAGTTTTACTCATAGTTGAGGGCAGGAATTTACAAAATCATCCCCAACAGGTGGCCATCCAGCCCCCCACCCTGCATCAAATGAGGAATCAACAGAGGAATCCTTTCAAAGGAGGAATCCTCCACCACCATTCTAGGTGGACGGTGGCATTGCTTAATTGTTGTTATATTCAGGAAACTCCTCCTAATATTCATCCTGAATCTCCTTTCTTTTAATTTCAACTTTCTGGTCCCAATCCTTCCCTTGGTTTTCAAAGGGAACATGTCCACCTCTTCTTGCACATGACTTGCACATCTTGATACGTAAGTCCTAGAGATGACATACTTACTGGAATCCTTGTCTTTTCCATAGCCTCGGGCTGTGTACTGTAAGGATGTACTGGACATCGAACAATTCTCCACTGTGAAGGGTGTCAACTTAGACCAAGCCGACAATGACTTCTATGCCAAATTTGCCACAGGCTGCGTCCCTATCCCCTGGCAGAATGAGGTGAGGAATTGACAGTTACAAGTAAGGGAAGAGACAGATGTATCCCAAGTAGTTGAATACTACCTCTTGTTTTTAGAAATACCAAAGCAGGAGTTACACTAAGTGAAACAGAACAATAAAAGCTTTAATTGCTCAACCAGCACTTGAACCCCGAATTCAAAACACAGTGGCTGCCATGCCAATCATTGATCCAGTTAATGTAAATAAGCCCAAATGATCTTTGATTTTATCTGTCATAGCTGCATGGAAGAGATTAGAAATTTACACTTCTGATTCCAATTGTCCACAGTTCAGTGAGCCACTTGTAATGTTCTGTCTGATGTCACTGCCCTTAAGACAGTGAGCTTCAGGTTGGTGTAATTGGACCAAAAAGCAATTAACCTATTATTTTTCTTCTTCCCTTTGCAAAATTGGCCCATGCACCAAGTAGCACTCTATTATGCCCTCCTTCAAAGCCCTAGGTCATTCTTCAGTAGCAGCTTACAGCATCTTCCAAGTCCTCCAACCACCATCGTGCCAAAATAGCAATAAAGGGGTCAGGCATGACAATGATGGCTGGGTGATGTTATGCAAACCCTGTTAGTGAGGAAAAGGCCACAGCAGTGAATATCATTGTACATTAGAGGTGTATTCTTCAGCTCTGCTGGCTGGGAATTCCACATGGGCATAAATCAAGAAGATCAAGCTGATCTATCCTGCTGCACTAAACATAGGATGTCTTTTTGTGGATGCCATAAGTTGGCCCATTTGGGGCAAGGACTGCCCTTACTGCAGTGTGGTTGTATGGCTGAGGCAGAATGCTGGCCAAAAGAACCCTGAAGGATAACCCATGGGAAGGGTGATGAAAAGCCCATTCCCCTTTCCAGCTGATTCTGCTTTCTCTGGTCACCTCCTGCCTGTAATCCGGCTTAAAGGCACTGGTGATGATTGGAGCTGATGCAATCTAAGCTAAGAGATCATTACTGGCAAAGCCTCTTGATCTAAGGAGGCACATAGAGGTGAGAGTTGGGTGCCTCGGCTATCCATTCAGTCCAGCTTTATCTGTTTAAGGATTTTGGTATGAAGCACCTTTTCTCCCCACCATTCTTACTAACTGCATCATCTTCTTCCACTTACATAGATGATCGAGACAGAGTGCTTTAAAGATCTCAACATCTTTGGACCAAATGGCACCCGATCCCCAGATCTGGACTGGAAGCAGCTCCCTGACCCACCCAAGCGTAGCCTCCTGCAGCGGCTCTTCCGCCGTAACGTAAGATCCAATCTTGTTCCTTTCTTGCTTTATATCGCTGCAGCAGCTCACTCCGTTCTTCAGTACTGCTAAGCCTGGTTAAGCAATGTAGCAGTGTTGTGCCTTCAGTTTCAAGACATACTTTTGACTATCTGTCAAAAGCTTATTTTTGAATGGACATACTCTCTGGTAAATTTGCATATGGGTCTTCTCCAAACTGGGCACTCTCCAGATGTGTGGACTTCAGTTCCCAGAACTCTTAGCAATGACCATGCTGGCTGAGAAATTCTGGGAGATGAAATCCATACATCTGGAACTCACCCAGGTTGAAGAAGCTTAGTATATAGAATCTCTGCCTAAAGACTGGAGATTGGAGGAATGTTATGTAGCTCAGTGATAAAACACTGCAGGAGTTCCCAGGTTCAATTTCTGGGTGCCCGTTACATCCTTCCTGAAACTCTGGGAAGCTGCTGCTAGTCAGTGTGGGCAATATTAGGCTAGATCAGTGTTTTCCAACCTTGACAACTTCCAGATGTGTGCAGCAACTCCAACAGTCTTCAGCAATTGCCATGGTGAGTGGGGAATTCTGGGAGTTGAAGTCCATACATTCCAGAAGTTGCTGTGGTTGGGAAATGCTGGACCAGTGGTCCAAATCTGTATAACGCCGTTTTCTAGGTTCATAAGTATTTGCATTCTTCTGTTTGAAGAATGGTGGGAGGTCTGTAGTTCAGTGGTTGAGCAACTGCATGGCATGAAGAAGTTCTTGGGTTCAAGAGCAGGCAATGAGAGTTCTAGCCTGTTAGTCATGCTAAATAGCAGATTTTTCCCCTGCACTCACTTTTCTCCCTTTCTCCATTCTTCCCTGTAGCCAAGTGACTTCACCATCAGCACCAACGTACATTCCAACTTGTCAGCGGCCCCCTCACCAGCCTGGCCCATGGCACAGGCTCCTTCCTGACCCCTGGAACTAGCACTCATCCTTTGCCTTCTCAGGGTTGCCTTAGGCTGAAACGTGGAAGTCCCTGTCTTGGGCCAGGCTCTGTTCCTGCTTGGAGCTGGAGGAACACAGCCTTCCAATCGGCAGAGCAGCAATGGGCCAGAAAACCTTTGCCACCTCCTGGTGCTGATGTGGACTGGGGGCATGGAGGCTCCTCTTGTCCAGAGCCTTGGCTGCTGCTTGTTGACAGGGTCTTCCTTCATCTTTCTGTACTTTGACTGCACAGGGAACATCCACGGCTGTCCCCCATTCTCTTTGTCTCACCACCTCCTGACCCAAGTTTAATGGGAGATCGACTGGGGAGATGTACCTGAGAAGGGAGGATTTAAAAAAAAACAAAACAACTACCAATGACACCTGGAGATGGCAGAGATCAGGGCTGGAGCCTTAGACTGGAGAGAAAAAGAGAACACACAGCTTGGACAAAATTGCAGTGGGAATGGAAAAGACTCCCTACTCTTGCATTGGCATTTCCGGAGCTGGGGAATGCCGAACTGAGACTCATGGATAAGTGTGTGTCAGTTTGCGTGTGGGTGTGTATTGAACTTTTAGCTCCTTGGAGTTCATTCAGGGTTTTCCCAGGAATCTCTCCCACCCATACTGTCAATTCTACAACCTGGGGCCATTGCAAAGCCAGAACATGGAAGACAAAGAAGGGTGAAGAGCAACTGGTGGTCTTTTCTTGAGAACACCCTTTCTTTGCTGGTCATCCTCTAGCTGTCCTGCACTGTCCAGCACCTGTCATCCCTTAGCAATACAATCTTTGGACCGGATAGTTGGGCAATTCAACTGGAATCCAGGACCAGATGCAGAATGCTGCTTTGGAGGCCCCAGTAGGAAAAGACTGAGAGATGGAGAGATAGATGGAATCTTAGCCTGAATAAAGCCAGAAGCTTTCGGCGTTCCCAAACCCAGGACTTTAACCTCAACCTGCAGTGTTGAAGAGATACCTTTTTAAATCCTTATATATTTTAACCTTTATTACATTTGTTTCCATAGGCCCGCCTACTCATTTATTTTATTTCTTTTCCTTTCTGACTCTGTATTTCCGTTCCCCTTTTCCCACTTGACCTTTCCTCTCTCTTTTTGTGCCACCCAACCTAGTTGAATCCTGATGAATTAAAGCGGATGTAGGGTCTCCCCTGATGGTGATTGTTTGCGCAAGTACGATGGAACCAGATGACTTCATCTCGTCTGTTTCCTCAGAAATTAGGTCTGTTCTAAAAGTGCAACATCCGAATGTGTTAATAATGAAGAGGCAGGCTACAGGTGGAGAATCATCTTGTAAAACGCTTCTCCGCATTGAAAAATAAAACCCCTCTGCAAGCAGAAAAGCAGAGTAAGACTGGGTTAAAGTTTTAATCCATAATATTCTGGGTTTTTGCTTTCAAAGAGGGTCC